ATGCCTCGGCGCATCGCCAGCCCACCGCAACATGCCTGTGCAGCAGCCTGGAGCAGCAGGGCATGGATGGAGGATTTTCTCTGAAGCCAGAGGTTAATTATGCTTTATTGGATAATTTTCAGCTGCCAGTCCTGGCAATAAAGGGGATTTCCTCTAGATGGCACGCTTATCTCTGCGCTGGGAGGGAAGCCCCACCAGCCTTCTTCCCCGTGTGGGACCCCAGTGATATATTTTCAGGGAGCAGATAACTTATCCCAAAGCTTCATGCCTTCTTATAACACAATTTTAATGCTCAGTTTCTAGACTATGCAAAAGCCTGGAAAAAGGTAATTAAAAAAGGCATTTCAAAATGAGTGGTGGTGGGATCCGGTTAGCTGGGTGATGCTGAGTATCCATCCTGCAGAAATCAGGTCTTTCCAAGTAACGTAAAGCCAGATGTGAAACATCAGCCTTTCTTTCAGCAGCCCTCAGTGTCGTTTCTTCCTCTTCCCAGCAAGAATAAGCAGAGGCTCACCTGCAGGAAGTGAAAGAAAGGGGGATGTGTGTGTGTAAGTGAAGCTTCAACACCCCCAGAGTGGCTGGATTAATTTTAATCCATGTGTTGACAGTCTTTCCCTCTCTTGCCTCCGTGCAGCTTGGGGCAACAATTTCTCCTGGTGGTTTGAAGAAAGGGGAAGGAGAAGTTACACTGGTCTGGAGATGCTGGGGATGGGTTTCTTGTGTGTCCCTTTTACCTACTGCGCACTGCAGAGCACCTATTTTATAGAGATGGAGAACTGTCCCTTGCAGCCACACTGATGCTGCCACAAAATCAGCCTGGGATGTGCCAGGGCTGTGTGTCCCAGTGTGCAAAGCAGGGATTAGCTTTGGGTCCTGGACCTGAAGGAAGGAGCTGCTGGGGTGTGAAGTGCTGAAGCCAGGCTGTGGGGTGAAGCTGTGACCTGGTGGAGATGCAGTGGAGGAATCGGCATCCACAGCCATATGCTGGTGGGGTAACGGAGCTGAGATTCACCCTTCCGTGCAGATTCAGCCCCAGACTATTACAGTGATGCCTGGTTTGATATTTTTTCTACCTGGCTGTCCTTCACAAGATAAGGGGACAGGGTTAAGGGGTTTGGCTCTGCCTCTGCTTCTCTGCATGGGTGAGATACTTCGTCTTCCTCCCCATGCTTTAGGTTGAAAACTTTTTCGCCTCTGTTTATTCAGCTCCTTCCCAAGATGGGAACGGAGAAAAGGAGCCCTGCGCTATATTTCTGTGCAGTAGCAACATCACAGCCTCCAGGTGACTGAAGCATAGTCTTATTTGAGGTCAAGAGGCAAAATATGTCTACGAACCTGTTTGCGAGGCAGATCTGTAGATATCAGCATGTATGTGCAGGGCTGATTTTTTACAAGGATACAGCAGATTCACCCCAACCTGATCCCCAGCTGGAGGTTGCCGGATACTTCCAGGTGCAAAGATTCCTATCCCCAGCCATTTACTACACACAGAAAAAAATAAAAAGGAGTCAAACACTTTTTGTCCCGATCAAGCTATATTCCAGTAATTTTCCACCTTCTCTATAACTTCCTCCTTTGAAGGCCCTCTCTCTGTATCGCTCCTGGCCCCCAAGCTGAGGGTCCTCAGCTGGTGTTTCTGGCAGAAGTGGACTTTTGTGAATTCAGTGGGTGAGGTGGGCACTCAGGCTGCTAAACCGCTGACTGCAGAGAACTCAGCAGCAGGGATTTCCTGGGCACATTTGGCATGCTCAGATGCTAACATGGAAAACCTGGACTCAGAAACCTCACCACGAGTTTCTACATCCTTGTGAATCTGGCCACTTATTTAGGTTCTTGCACTGGTGCACCCACTTTTGGAAAATCTGATTTCCTCCCACACATCCCCCCCCCAAAAAAAAAAAAAAATCCTTTATTTTATTTTCAGGGAATGCAGGGAAGAATGAAGTGACTTAGCAGGCTTGTTTTCACAGGGATATTTTTCCTCGTGTGGTAGGCACAGTTACCAGGCTGTTCTATACACGTTGCCATGTACCAGCACATAATTGCCTTCCACATGCATTGGCCTTTGGCTAATGTGATTTTTATGGCAACCAGGAGAGCTGGCTTTGGTGAGTCTCGAAAGTGCACCTGGTGGTTTATGGCTTGAAATCACTGCGTTCCTCTGAGTCATATGTGTGTGTGTGTGTGTGTGTGTGTGTGTATCCTTCTCGTCTCATGTCAGATTGCTGAAGAACAGTATGAAAAAAAAACTTATACCAAGCCGGAGTTAATCAGTTGAGTGTTAAGCTGCGTATGAGCTTGCCTGGTGGGCTTCAAATCCATGTGGGATGGCATCAGCTATGAATAGAGAGCAGCAGACAAAGTTTTTGAATGGCAAGTCCACAACCAAGGTCCTAAAGTCAGATCACAGCACCTAAATAAATGTGTATGTATGGGGGGAGAGGAGCTTCCCACTCGTCTGAAGAGTAGGAAAGACAGGGAGACTTGCTCTCCAGAAGTTCACGGAGGTTCAGCCCTGCACATGGAGTGCCTGGGAAAAGCCTCCCTTGAAATCCAGGTCTTTTTTGGTGTGGATTTTGGGACACCTCCGTTTGAAAATGCAAGTGAACAAAACCTAGATGTCCAACATCTGGGTGCTGCAGGGATGGATATAGGCACTTGGCTCCAGTGGTTTCCAAACCGGGAATTTCACGTATCTCGCACTATCCAGCACCACCATTCCCACTTACCTCCCTGCGCTGGGAGCTCTTGGTGTGCAGGCTGCAAACTGATCTTTGCAAACTGGGAGCTGGCAGTACAGGGCTGGAAAAAAGGTTGAACTGCAGGGAGCACTGAAGGTCTGAGCCTTGGATATGGAAAGAAGAGAAATAATATCAAAGGAAATCACATAAGTGGAAAAAGAGCCCCCTGGGGCAGCCCAGGCAGCAGCAGGTCTGTCTTGCTCATGTTTTCAGAGAAGTTAGAGGTCAGCCAAGCTTGATAACGAGGTAATACAGAAAAATCCATCACTGATCCTTGGGGGACTTGTAGATGCGGTTCTCATCAGAATAAACGAATTTAGATGCTGCTCGGCAGAGGAAACAAGAACGATTATGTATTGCAAAACCAACAGATCATCTGGAAGGATCTGGGAGCAACGTCGGCTGGGCTGGAGCTAAACCCACCGCACTGCCCAAGGCAGCGCACGGAAACACTGCAGGGCCCGATGCTGCCCTTCCCCGGGCGCAGCCGTGCAGGATCAGGGCTTTGCCCCCCGGTAAACCCCAGCGCCGGCGGATGCTCCGGCCAGGACCCTTAGGCGAGTGGCATGGCCAGTGCCGGGGCGGGAGCAGCGATCGCACCCCGCGGTGCTCCGGGGTTGTTCTCCCTGCCCTCCCCTACACCTCCCCCCGGCAAATAACGGTCTCTGCGGACAGGCAGGGAACGAGCTTTTCCCAGTGGAAAAAAAAAATTGTGCCTGGTCGTTGTTGCCGTTTTGCAGCTTCCAGGGGCTCCGACCCGCTCCCACGGAGCTGCCCGGGCGGGGGCACCGGGAGCCTGGGGGGGGGAAACCTCGGCCGGAGGGATCCACCTGCTAAAGAGGTCTGCAGGGCATCAAAACGCCGACCCAACGCCTCATAAAGACAGGCAGGACAGACAGTGAAAGTCAATTTAAAGGAGGAAAAAAAAAATCCTGATCGGCTGATGCCCATTCTGTTTTTCTTTTTTTTTTTTTTCTTTAAACAAAATGGAAAGGTCACAGTCTCTCATGAGCTGCTTTTTCCGTGTCTGAATTGTGGCAGGGAATCTGAAAAAGGCACCTAAAGCAGAGTCGGGTTAAAACGGGAGATGGGAAGGGAGGCTGTAATGAAATACTTCAGAGAGGAGAGCAGAAAAATTAAAAATCTGCCCAAGGAAAAATGCTTCCCTCCCAGCCCTGCACGCCTGGGAACAGTGGGACGATGACAAGGCAATCTTTTCGGGTAGATCGATAGGGTTTCTCTTTCGGGAGACGCATCGTTTCTTACCCCGGCGTGCAAACCGGGGTAAGATTAAAGGGGTGATTAAAACTCACCCCTCGCTCCGTGTGTGGATGCACGGTCGGGAGCGTATGTGTGTGTATATACGTGTCTGGGATCCAACCATCTGGTTTGCTTCACTCCCGGGCTTCCCTTTCCTAAATCTTTTCGGGACGGATGTACTTTAGGTACTTTTTCTCGTTTTGATTGGTTTCTGCAGCCGACCTTGCGTGGCAAAGCCGAGGCTAATACCGACTCGGCGAAGAGGAGCCGCTGGCAGATGGAGGGACCGGGACTCACTCGCTGTCGTTTCCTTTTGGGTCGTTCCCGACTTTAACGGGGACGGTATTTTGCCTTGAAACAGGCAGGAATAGAGTCGATGGTGGCTGATCGGGACACGCTATTTCTCGAGCTGCGGCGGCTCTGGATGCGCGATGCTGAAGGGGGAGATCCAGGCGGGAGCGGGACAAGGCACCGGCCGCATCCCATCAACAGCCGCCTCGGATCGACCCTTCTCGCCCCCCCGCCCCCCATTTTCGGGCTCATCGGGGTCCCGATGCCCATGAGTACAGCGGCAAACGGCTCCATCCGAGCCCCCCGTTGCCGGGGG